AAACTTTAGTGATTTTTCCTAACATAATTCCAAATACTTCTCTGGAAAGGGTAAAACATCCCACAGATCTGTTAATAGTTTATTAGTGAACCTATCTTGCTACAGTCCCTCCAATGCAATTTCTATCTTTTTAATCATTTTTGCCAATTTGATGTAACCCTCCTATTTTACACATGAGGAAAACCAGGAACTAGGGAAGTGACATGCAAATGCTCAAAGCCGTGGAATTATTAAGTAGAACGAGAATACAAATCCAGGTTGTCCAACTCATATGTCATTGATATTAAGACCACAAATACTATGTGGTTACTTCTCCAATTAATGTCAACTCATTGGTTATTGAATCAAGATCTGGTATTGAAAGTATCCAGTTAGATATAATTTTGCAAATAGTCTAAGAATTGTGTGACACGTATCACTCTCTGTCACATTTCTGCCATTTTATATATTCTGTATAGTAAGAAGTAGGTCACATAGGACTTCAATTCAGCAAACATTTATTAAGTACTTTTTATATGTAAGGCAGTGTGTTAGGAGTGAGGGCACACAGATAGATACAAACACAGGCCCTATTTTCAAGAAACATACAACCTAATGTGAAGATGGAGTAATACACAAATAACTATGATCCAAGAAAGATGAGCAGAGCAAGAAAAAATTCTGGCACGGTGGCACAATGATGTCTATTCAATTCAATCCAATAGGCATTTGTTAAGCTCCTAAAATGTCAGGCACTGCGCTAAGTGCTGAGGGTACAAAGACAAAAACAAAGCAAAAATGCCATCGTATATTGAAGTTTCCACCTTCCTCTAAGGTGGAAAGCTAAGTAAGATACCTGTCAGGTCAGAAAGATTGGAACTCAAATCTGGCTGTGACCCCAAGAGAGTCCCTGAACCTATTTGGGTCTCAGTCCTACCTACTGTAAAGTGAGATGATTGCTGAACTCATTGATATGTAAGGTCTTCCAACTTCCAACTCTTAAATCTTCCAACTTCCAACTCTTCCAACTCTTCCATCTATGATCCTCCATGAAATCTTCTCAGGCAATGCACATTTCCTTCTCTCCCATCCCAAGTGATTTTTCTTCCTCAAATTTTTCACACAACCTTAGGCTTTTTAGTCAATGTTTAATCAAATAAATGAAGGCAGTATAAGTCCATTCCAGGTGCTGAGTGGTGGAGAGTTGGAATTGTGAACAAAGGCCATTTTGTACTTTTATATATTTATGGGTCACTACAGCTTAAAATATCACCTAGTGACCAGCTTTCTAGCTTTGAGTCTCTATACTTAGGTTAGGCTGGCCATTGGACAATAGATGCATTTTGTCAAGTGGGAACATACTAGAACCCAACATGGGACAACCTGCCTGAAAATGTGCTCCCTTGGCCAACTTCAATAACCCAGGACTAACCAAATCTGTGCCATAATAAAGTAATGGGTTTCAAAATGTCCACCATGCTATTACCACTCCCAAGAAAGAAAATACAAAGAGCATGTCATTTCTTCTTTAGTGTTTTCTTCATATATGGTGAATAACGTGGTTTCTTTTTTTTCTTTCTGATATAACTAAAAACTTGGATGTGCTTTAAATCTTTCTTTTCCTCTCTAGTTCTTTCTCCTTTTTTTAAATGCAAAACATACAAAGCTGAAGGATTTTCCAAATGACTGTTTGAGATAAGGACCATCTGCCTAATGTTTGTACATTTTGAACTGCCTACTCAGAGTAGGCAGTTATGCAAACAAGTCATTTAAACAAAGTCTATGAGTAGAAAATGGAAAGCCATGAATACTGCTAATGGGCACATTGCCTTGCAACAGGAAGTGGAAACCAGAGATTTATCAAAGGTCTCTGCTAATAGCCTCTGGGCCCACTGCTCACGACTTACTTCTCTATACCACAGATACAGTTAGTGATAAGTTTTGCTACTCTGTCTGAGATCAAATTGCCCTGTCAAATATCTCTCATGTCCTCTTTTAATCTAGATGGAGAGATGAGTCTGCTATGTGAAACTCAGATCAATCAAGCATTAATCTGACATTACAGACTAGAGATATTATAGAAGCTGAATTAAGTGAGATCCATGAGGGCTGGAGTAGCTAGACAGACCTTTATAGAAGAGTTAGGCCTTGAGTTGGGTATAATGATCTCTCTCACTGGAACCAATATATTCGAATAATGACTACACTGATTTTCCCAAGTCACGTTTTCGCTCAGGTTCATGTCTTCTCTATCAAGGATAATAAGTAAATAATTCATTAATATTAGATTCCCTTTAGGATACAAAAGTGAAATATTCTGCTATTGTTTATTATTACATTTTGTTTTAGAATATTTCCATATTTGAGTAGAACTATGACCTCATCAATGTATTTCCTCCAACAGTATAGACTGAAACCCCTCCATGCCTTCCCTCCTAAGAGACTGTTGTCTATCTCCTCTCATAAATCCAAAATGGATTCTCCCAATGTTGGATTTCAATCCCTGGAACAAGTATCTCTTCCACATCTCAGGGGTTAGGAATACAATGCAGTGCCCCTGCAATCTGGAAGATCCATGTACAATTTTTTTACCCTTCCTTTGTACCAAAGAAGTCTGAATTTTTTCTTTTTTTTTTTAATGAAGTACTTACAGTACCTTATTGTAAAATTTGGGTTGGTGTTATACAATATTATACATATATTTTATGCATTTATGAATTTCTAAACCTTTTCTGTGTCATCTTCTGGCCTTTGTGTCTCTGCAGCTTCCTCAAACTTCCCACAAAAACTCCCATTTAATTTCTTGTTTCCGTATAGGTAAAGTCATGATGTGGAAGGAATAACTGTAGTAATATGAATGTTTTGTGACTGGTAAATCATGAGTGACTAGACTAGAAATTGACCAAGATAATCCTATAATGATGTGGTCAGGAGTTATTAGTCTATTCCCTTTCCTTTAGTGAAGGGTTATACATAGAACATCCCAAATACATGAGAATATAACCAACTTTAAAATCTCTCTCAAAACAGAGATACTATGGCCCAAATTCAGTGACATCTTTAATCAAGACTGTATCTACTCACATTGAATAGACAGTATATTCAGCCAGTTCTGGTAAAGCCATGGAAAGTGATGACCCTATTTTACATTGTAGTAGTTGGACTTTACAAATGGATGCTACACTTGAAGAGGACCAACACTGTGCTTCTTAAACCATGGGTAGCCACCTCATATGCCCATAGTTTAACAAGTGTTAAAGGAGTCGCAAGTGGAAAAAGTTTAAGAAGCCCTGAACTAGAGCATCTCCACAGTAGAGTGATCAAGGTGATAAGATTATGAAAATTGTCTTATGAGGAATAGCTAGGGGAAAAAAAAACCCTAGGGATATCTGGTCTGGAGAATAGAGAAATGTAGAGAGACTTGATCCCTGTCTTCAAACACATGAAGGACTATCACTTAGTTATATGTGACAGTCCTCCATGCCCGCAATGTTTTTCCTCATTTTGTGTCTTAACGGGCTCTGCTTCTCTTCAAGGCTCAGCCCAGGTACCATGTCCTACCGAGTTCCCCAGGTATTAACAGCATTTTCCTTCCTCAAATAATGTTTGCACACATGCTATATTCCTCTAGCAGAATGGAAACTCCTTTCATCCAGATCTTAGCACTGGATCTTGCATTTAATAGGCACTCAAGTATATCAAATTGAACTCTAGAATTGAAGAATCAACATGAAAGACAAGAAAGACAGTATGGTATTGTGGAAAGAGCACTGAATTTGGAGTCTGAATCCTGGCTCTGACATAGACCTTGGACAATTCTCTTACCTTCTGTACCCTAGTGTCTTCATTTGTGAAACTGAAGTGTTGGACTCTTTGAGATGTAGTCCTTTTAGCTTTATTTCCATCAACTTTTTGACCACTAGTGTCATCTGAAAATTGAATGGACTGTGTCCTTAGGATCAAGGGGTCCCTCATTTAAAATATAGTACAGCTAAGATGACTAGGATGTTGCAAAAGAAATTCCTGAAATGACTGAGAATTTAGACTAGATGACCACTAAGTTTTCTTATAAAACTCAGATTTCTGCAATTTAAGATTTATCTAATATTTGCTCTGTGGCCAGCACTGAGAAGAATATAGAACTGATTCTACCCTAAAGGAGCTTACTCACTGCTTTAATGATTACAAAGGCTTCTATTTCTTCATCTGTAAAAATGGGTTGGATAACATAATGTGTAGGATTCCTTCAGTCTCTAACATTATAATTTTTCTGGGACATTAGCCAATGCAGTCAACTAAAATCACTCAAGCCACAGACACTTTTTTGTCATTTGTAGGAAATCCCACTTTCTGGACCCTGCGTAAAGCTTTTCTTCTCCTACTTAAAAATAATTATAGTTTAAATTTTAATCTTTTCTCACAGTTCTTATTTTTAATACTTTAAATCAGGAATTCTTTACTTTGTGTCATGGACCCTATTGGCAGTCTAGTGAAGCCGATAGGCCATTTTGCAGATTCATGTTTTTAAATGCATAAAATATGAAAGATCACAAAGGAAACCAATTATATTTAAATAGTTACCAAAATATATGTTTTTAAAAGTTCATGGATGCCAGCTTTGAGAAACCCTGCTTTAAAAATTTTTGATTCTAGGGGCAGCTAGGTGGCACAGTGGATAGAGCACTGGCCCTGGATTCAGAAAGACTTGAGTTCAAATCCAGCCTCAGACACATAACACTTACTAGCTGTGTGACCCTGGGCAAGTCACTTAACCCCACTGCCTAGAAAAAAATTTCTGATTCTGTCCTTTGAACCCATTTCAAAGTTTATATGTCACTGTTAAGAAATTAGACCACTTAAAAATATAATTCCATTTTTGTTCCTGAAGGCCTCTGTTTCAGGATCAAACTCAAGAAGCAACCACAGCAGAGAAATTCAGGAGAGGAAGCTGTTGGGAATCAACATAAACCATGTTGGAAGGGTCTTAAAGAGAAACACCAATCACGACCAACACCACAATGTCATATACTCATTGAGAAAATTTTATTAGTGGCTTAGTATTTCATTTTCTTCCCTTAAAAGTTAAACTAGCCCTCCTGTTTCCCAATGTATTTACATTAGTGAAAATTCCAGGGCTCATCTTCTTGCTCACATTAACATTTTATGTTTTAAATAAAATGTGTCAATGTCAATCTCAGTAAGATTTTTGCACTTCCTCTCTCCTGCTCTCAACTCTCTGCCCTTCTTGTGCCAAGTGCTCCAAACTTAAACTTTACCTTGAGTCCCTCTGAGCTTAACAAGTACTCTACACTTTCCTCTTGTCTGCCTTCTTCCATTTCTCCAGACCATTCTTGTGATTGTGTCCTTTCACATATGATCTCCTGTGTCACACCAATGCACTTACTCACAGCCCTTACACTACATAATATCAGAACAGCTAACAACATCAAAGCATCTATTAGGGGGGAAGCCTGGGGAGATGACACATAATACAGCCACATACCCACTCCCACTTTTCAGATATAAGTGCCCAAGCTATTTAATATAAAGGTCCTTTATTCACTACATTTCACTGATAAGAGGCTTCTTCACTGTATAGTTTATGGTACTTTTGATTTCTTTGTAATTTCTTTAAACTTATATCTGTTTTTCAAGATCTGGACATTAGACCAGCGAAACAAAATCCTGTTAGCTATATTAATAGATTTTATTTCTTTTGTGGCAGCTTACTATTTCTACTTAGATTTGTTCTAAAAAACAAAAAACACTGTGCCTCAATGTAACTCAAGTAACCACTGTTCTTTAAGGAAAAATGGGCAATTTAATAAGGTGCCCTTAAAAATGCCACCCACTCAGTGCAAAAACAGAAAATTCCTTTTTACAAAGGTAAAACATGACATGACATTTCTCAATTTTTAAAAAATCCCTTTGTAATGGACAGGTGATGAGAAAACACTCACTTATCATAAATATATTTAAAAATAATATTGTGCTTCATTTCCCCCCCCATGATTCTGTTCTCTTAGAGCACAAATCCCATCAGTGATAAACTAAGGACCCTTGCATATGTTACATACTTGGTACCACAAATGAGAAGTTAAATACCATGAGACTAGAATACTATTTATTTCATAATCTAAACAAATACTGGAATTAGATCTAGGCTCTTCTGTTTTCTAGAAGATTTTACAATGAGCATCTTTTTTCTTCTTTCATTAAAACAACTGCATAAATACATTACACGCATGCTTTTTTTTAAAAAAAAGAAATAATTGTAATTTACATTGCTTTCCTGTTTTCTGCATCAGGAAAAAGAAATACTGAAGTTATGGTAGTGTAGCAAAAAATACGAAGACTATGATCTCTCTATGCATAAAATATCCATCAGAAGCATGCTGATAGGCATAAACATGACATTTATTACATGAAATGTATTCTTTTAAAAAAGGGGGGGAGGAGCCTAAGTTTCTACATGTAAATGAAGTTAAACAGGCACAAGCATAATTAATCAGAACTGTTTTCAACTGGCACCAAAACAAAGCAGTCTTTGAAAATCTAATCAGTGTAGTCTAAAGAGACCTTCTGTGATCTAGTTATGAATTCCATTACAAGGAATCAGCTTTCTACTTTTAGCAGGGAGAGGAGAAAGAGGATGAGTGTTTTTGCATATGCCAGTTCTCATACATGACCAGTCTTGTGCATGAGTGGGTTTTCTAGAAACCAATACTGTAGTTGATTAGTGTTGAAAGACCTCAGTTTGTTATTCTCCCCTGGTACTCCCTCAGCAGTCTATGGCTGGTTCTTCATTTACCATTTGGTTTCTACACAACAGAATGGTCATTGCTATGAACTCCAGCCAAGATGGTGTGGTTGAGTGAAGATGCTGAGCGATCTGAGCCATCAGTGGGTCCATTGGCATTCTCATTCCGCTGGCAGCAGAGGATCTGTCTGAAGGTGGCACTCATTTCCTTGTCACGGTAAGAATAGATGATGGGATTCATGGCAGAATTGAATTCAGCAAGAAGAAGGAAAAATTTTTCATATGCCAGGACATCACACTGAGGACAGCAGACGTCTAGAAGTAACAAGACTAACCCAGGAGTCCAGCAGATGATAAATGCACCTAGCGAGAAGAGGTAGAAAGAAAAAAGAAAGATTTAATAATTTTTGATAAGCAACCACACAGTATGATTTCTCTAGCCAATGACTTCAACATGGAATGTTTATAAGAGTCTGGCTACTTCATAATAAAAACTAAGAAACAGTAATAAAAAACTCAGATTTATACAGCATTTGAAGGCTTACAAAACAATTTTCTCATGACGACCTTGAGATAAATCATCAAGTTTTACATTCTTTAACAGATAAGGAAAAAGAAGCTGAAAAGGTTTGCCGAGGTGGTTGTATCTAAAGGACTGATGTGACAGAAATCCATTTCGTTGGTTTGGCAGATAAAAGGTTATTCAGACCATATAGTTTAGGCAGTTGTTCACATGGCCCTCGCTGCAGGAATATTTGGGTTGCCCTGGGTCAGGAACCAACATAACCCTTACTTTAGTGAACCAGAAAGAAGTCATGAACACTTTCTAAGCATTCAGAGTTTCGAGTCAAGGTAACCTGAGGGAAAAGACCTAAAACATGTCTTTGTGACAAGATAGAAGTTCAAGAGAATCTTGTTTTTAAGTGTAAGGAAAACTCCCAGCAAATATGACTCTTAAATTAAAGTCCTCACTGACTTGGAAGGCCTCAAGAAGAAAAGCTGAATGAATGGTACTGTATTACTCTTGGCATGCAGTGAGCCAGTAAAAGAGACAGAGAAAATAGGTGTGATGGTCATTAGTACAAATAAGTCCTTGAAAAGAAAGCATGAAGGAGAATTTGTAGAAATGGGGTGCTACATGTGCTAGCAATGACCTATAGGTCAGACCAGCTGATATAAAGAATGTGGCTGACTACCACAAGACAATCACTTATTGGCCACCGTGACAGACTTAAGATTGACTATGCCTTTACAGATGAACAGTACATGTAGGGAGGACAGGTTATACCTCCCTTCCTACAGAATTGAGAGGTTTTACAAGGAAGATATTATATAACTAAAGTGATAGAATTGGGGTCTAAGGACTCAGGAAAACCATGGTTCAAATTATACTTTTGTCACAAGCTCTGTGACCTAGACAAATTACTCAACCACTCAGACCCACTTCCTCCATATGTAAAATGAAACGGTTGGATTGCTCTTTCAAGATCCCTTCCAGTTCCAAATCTATGGTGTACAACAACAAACCAAATCCATTTTGATTTCACTAATTTAGTACTAATTTTCTGTTTTAAGATTCTGTAACTTAAATGATATGAACACTCCCCTCCACCTATATAAACAGAATCTGTTTGTGAATTAGTTGAAAGTAAGCATGAGCTACTAAGCACCATCCCCCAACCCCACCCCCAATCCATCACCCAGAGGCCAAAATTTTACTTTATTACTTTTAAAGCAGAGACTTTTTGTTCTTTTCTTTATCTCCAAATTCTCTCTATTCTCCTCCTCTCTCGCCTGCCCAATGAGAATCCAAGAAATACAAAACTAATTACAAATACATATAGTCATGCAAAACAAATTTCTGCATTAGCCACATTGAAAAACAAAAGCCAAGAAAAAGAGATAGGCTTCAATTTGTATTCTGAGCTCTTTAGTTCTATCAGGAGATGGAGAAATTGTTTCATCAGGAGATGGAGAAACTGTTTCATCACGAGTCTTTTGGAATGGAGATTGTTTGACCAGAGTTCCTAAGTCTTTCAAAGTTGATTATCTTTACAATATTGCTGTTACTGTGTAGACTGTACCCCTGGTTCTACTCATTTCACTTTGCATCAGTTCAGATAAATCTCAGGTTCCTCTGAAACCATCCCTTTCATCATTTCTTACAGCACAATAATATTCCATTACATTTATATACCACACCTTGTTTAGTCATGCTCCAATTGGTGGGCATCCCTTTAGTTTTAAATTCTTTACCATTACGAAAAGAGCTACTATAAATATTTTTACACACACGGGTCCTTTTCTTCTTTCTTTTATCTCTTTGGGATATTGGTATTGCAGGGTCAAAGAGTATGCACAATTTATTAGCCTTTAAAGGTGTAGTTTCAAATTGCTTTCCAAAATTAGTTCACAACTCTACCAACTACTGTTGAAGAACTGTACCTGTTTTCCCACATTAGTGGGACAAACTTAAGGATGAGTCTCTGAACGAACCTAGGCTTGTCTTTGGGGAAGGAAAAAAAAAGACAATATGTTCCAAAGCCTTTACAACTCGGTAGGGCCTGCCAGAGTTTACCCTAGATGGCATAATTCTTGAGAATCTAGGATTCCCTCTGCCCCATGAAAAGACATTCAAAGGGGCAGCTAGGTGGCACAGTGGATAGAGCACTGGCCATCCTTGAAGTCAGGAGGACCTGAGTTCAAATCCGGCCTCAGACTAAACACGACACTAGCTGTGTGACCCTGGGCAAGTCACTTAACCCCAACTGCCTAAAAAAAAAAAAAGAAAAAAGAAAAATGTTTCCAAAAAAGAAAAAAAAGAAAAGCCATTCAAGTGGAACTTTTGGTGGAGACTATTTCTAATATATTCGAATTTTGCTACTTTGGCAGTTCTGAGTTGATGTTTACTTTTGCATCAAATATAAATAACACTTACTAAGCAAACAAAGTAGCATGGTAGGAGGCATATTTGCCCTACTTAGATTCACAAAATCATAAAGTTTTGAAGCTAGAAGGGAAATTAGAGATAATCTAAACTAACCACTTTTGCTTAAAAGAGCAAACTTCTGAGAAAATTATTTTGTCGTCTATGTGGACAGGAAGGCTGCATTCATGAGCCATAGCATATGTGAAACAAGGAACTCTACTCAAGACACACCTGTAACAATATGTAACAGAAGGTAAGACAAATGAAATGGTCCTTAAAATCAATTTAAAATTCAGGTCTACACTATTTGGCCATCTTCCCTTTTAAAGTTTACTTTCCTTCCAACTAGACTGAATTAGTAAGGCTTTACTCTAAATGCAAATGAAATAGTACTCTAATTTAGGGACCAAAACCTCAAAGTATCCCAAACTGAACTCATTCCTCACTCCCCACCACACCCCCTCCATACACTTTTGTGGATGCAATCTTAGAACAGAGGTTCTCAAACTTTTTGGACCAAGGACCCCTTTATACTCCTAAAAACTGAGGAGCTCCCAAAGACCTATTGTTTATGTAGGTTATTGCTAAATCCTTTATATTAGAAATAAAAGCTTCTTATGTAAATACTTTTGACCTCACAGACATCCTGAAAGGACTTTCCAGGGTACCCAGACTACACTTTTGCAAATCACTGCCTTTGAGTCTTCTTTATAAAAAAGATTCCCCCATGCCTGTAATTTGCACCCTCTTTGCCCAAAAAGTCCTTTTCCTGAAGCTCAGCTACAACCTTCTCCATGAAATTATCCCTGATACCTCCCCCAGCTTAGTTATAGCCTATCCTCAAATAAGTGCTTTGTGCAGATCTCTCCTTTGACCCTTTCACTTTCTACTTTGTATCATATTTACTTGTATATACGTCTTATTCCTCATGTTGACATGTAAGATCCTGAGGGGCAAGGAATGTATTGTTTTTGTCTCTGTATCCTCAAATTCCAGCAAAGTCTAGTCTTTAAATGTATTTCCCTTTCGTAAATTTTCAGAGGGGAAATTAAAAATAAAGTCAGAGAATATTTTCTCCAGAAAGCTCTTTTTTCTACAAGAGGTGTACAAACCAGATTAAAATGTAATTGGGAAATGTTGGACAAAATAAATAAAATATAATATAGATAACATTAATTTGTGATTTTCCAAGTCATTATGTGCTGCCAGGTATTTATTTCTATTTGAGTTTGACACCACTATTATATAACACATTCTTCTATTCTACAACTATTTCTATTTATTGATTTAATTTTATAACTGCTGCTTTCTTCAAAGACAGTCCAAGTTGCTTCGATTTCAAATAAATACACCACCTTAGTTTTTCCTTCCAAAGAGGTTTCCACTATCAGGAGATAATTACTAAGAAGCTGTTTCCACCTCAAGTGTTAACATTAATAGAGCTGTCACTGGGTGTCTTGTGAATAAAGCCGCACTTTACAGGCCTGATAATTAAAACAGAAAACCAACCATAAAGGGGGGGAAAGGGGATATCTCCTTGGGTGGCTGGGAATAAAGCATCAGTCAGAGAGAAGCATGGAAGAAAGTTATTCCCAGGGAAAACAACTGCTTAATTCTTGCTAATCCAAAGTAGCCCTATTACGCAATTTACTTAGAAACTAACTAGACCCACACCCTTCATGAATTGGATATCTTTTTAAGTTTTAAGTTTTCTTCTCTTTTTAAAGCTCTATTCAGTGAAAATTCAGAGCCTACACAGACACATCAACATTAACACCACAGCCCTATTTTAATGATGGAGATAAAATGTTCTCATTAGAGGAAAGAAAACCTATCTCATAGTTTAGATTATGCATTCTTTCTTTAAAAGACAATGACCAAAGACTGTGTAGAAATCCATCTCCTTTGAGCAAAAATTCTAAATATCTCTAACAAATTTCCATTTTTAAAACATTGTTCATTTAAAACATTTTTAAAACATTGTTCAGGATTCAGATATAGTCCACAGTGGCTCTTCTAAACCTTTTCATTCCTCCTTAAACCTCCCATGGGTCAAATCCCACTCTCTCAGCAGAGAACCTTGTCTCATATTTTACAGGGGCAAAAAAGAGTTCCTATCTATTTCATAGCACTCAGATGCCTTCTGCCACAGTCTTCTCCTTTACCCCTGTCTCACATGATGAAGTGGCCTTATTCCTTACCAAGGCTAATCCCTCTACTTGTTCAAGAAATTCCATTCCAGCCCATCTCCTTTGACATATTGCCCTCTCTGTGTCACTTATTTTCAATCTCTTTCTTTCTACTGTCTCCTTCCCTATTGCCTACAAACAACTTCATAACTCCTCCATCCTAAAACCCTCATTTAATCCTTCCATGCCCCCAACTATATTAACCCTTACAATCTGGCTTCCAACTTCATTCTACTGAAACTGCT